CACAAGCCGCTGAACGTCACAACCAAAAAAGGTATCTTTTCGAAAGGTATCTTTCCACACGTGGCCACGGAGCACATCCAGTGCTACTAGCTAGCTAGCTATCTGCCGAAACGGTACAAGCTACAGCTATAGGAAGCACAGAGTGCATCCACCAGCACGAAATATTTTCTTTGGAGTGTGTATTCAGTTTTACTCAGCACCTCCTACCCTTTCATGGAGTGTGTGTATTGTGGCATCCAAGCCACAGCACCTCTCACTACCTTTTATGGAATGTGTATGTGCAACTAAACACAGCACTTCCCCACTGATTACAGGCAAACCTGAGGCAACACCAGCCTCTAGGTAGGCAACAACAGAAACCATTACAAAACATGCCCTTGCTATTTGATCACAGCAAGTGCACAGGAGTGTGAGTGTACCCAAATCCAAACCTACAATCCTACAAACAAAATCATCATAAAATCCGCCTTTATAGGCAAATGCCGCAACCATCAACCAACAATGGCCACAACTACAGGCCAACAACCATCAATGCTACATCACAGCCAACATCGATGGCAACAACAGCCAACAACTGTATCTACCACTACCAAACGATTACAATGAATCGACCAAACCAAATTCGAATTGCATCTACAATAACGGCAAACTGCAACAACAGCAGAACGACAGTGACGTTGAACCGAGTAGCTAGCTACAAGCAACTCAAGAGTTCACAAGACAAGGAAACAAGCCACAGATGGCTGGAGCATTCAGAGTTTGACCCACAAGCGGGAACCTGATCAATAGAAACAACAAGAGGGTGCACACCTCAGCTCCACTGCAACTACTGTCAGAGATTGCAACCAACCTTAGTCCACACCAACAACAGAGTACCGAGTACAACAAATCAAGCCTACAAAAGATACAACTACGAACAACTACTGCCACAGCCACTCACAGGAGTGTAAGAGCAGTGCATCACCAACCAAAGGATCCACCGACTACATCACCACGAACCATCATCGACCGTGACACGTCCAGGTCCAGTGGAGCCCATCAAGTGGAGCATCCACAACTACTACCGAATACTTCCTTACAAGTTTCCAAACTTCCAAGGCTTCTAGCCCCAACTCAGAGTATCATTGTGGCAAGGAACTTCCTTCTAGTTCCAGCTCACTACAACAGTTCTCCCAAGTGTTGCATACTGACTTCCCAGTCTCAGCTACGGCAACACCAAATGACGGTACCAAGTGTACCAAGTGACGCACCAGTCACACAAGTGACGACACCAGCAGTCACGAGTCTCACATGAGTATAACAACCATGACAAGAGGAAACAGTAACTCAACCATTTCCTCATTCCATCTTCAGAACATCGAGACAATCCAAGAACTAGGTTCAGTCGAACCAACAAGTCCGTGACTTCCAAGCTACATCATTTCCAGCTTCCATGCACCTTCCAATAGGGCACCACTTCCCACAAGTCTACGACTTCCAGAAGCTTCAACCAGCTTCCATCTACGAAGGGCTTCCAGCCCCATCAAGTGTCAATGCAGCCGAACTTCCAGTCTGAGCCGCGTAACCAAGTGACGTATCATCTCGACACCAGTCTTCCAGGATGGCATCACTCCTCAGCAGGAGTGCCAGCCACAAAGACTTTTCTGATGATGAAAATGTCCGTATTGTCTCGTCTCCACGCTCAGCTTCTCGTACCAAGGGATGCCGAGCAACTACTTCCAAGTTTGTTTTGGACTCATTGCAAGCCAGTCACACGACGACCGGACTGGATTACGAAGCCTTTCAAAGGTAGGAGCCTGCTTACCCAAGCACTGAAGACACTTTGAGTGCTATGATTCTCAGGAATCCTAGAGGCACCGCCTCAAGCTCCACAGCAATCCAGGTTGCATCCAATGTCCAAACCCACCAAGCCAGCTTTGGCTCAACAAGTACAAGTCCTGCCACAGCTAGCTCACAGAAGTGTGCCAACAGTGACAGTAGGAGTGGTATTGATAAAGTTGTACCCACCAAAACCCAAGTATCAAACCTTTTTTAACCTTCCTTTGAATTCTTCCGATCGATCTATCCAGATTGACACACCAGATCGACTGACAAGAAACGATCATGCCAGATCGAATGAACGAAGCGATCGAATCACAAGAGCGACCACGAGATCATTCAGTTTGACTCTCGGGATCACTCAGAAGATCCATCATGAGATTGCAAGTGCGACCACAGAAGCCTATCGAGGCAGAGCAACAAGCTTACTCAAGCAAGGGTAGCCACACACAGTGCTACCGGATATCTTCTGCAGAGGATTCCCACAGTTCCACAGGAACAGTTCCACCATGGAACCAGCTCAAAGCAAGCAACAGTTCGACGGAACGCCACAAGTGCCAGCACCCATCTACAAGAGGTGCAAACCAAGGTCCACATCAAGCAAGCACACATTCATGTACAACAAGTCACAGCCATTTGTTGGTTCGAAGACGATGGGCTGGATCTTCCATGCCCTCCTCGTCCTCTGCCGCCTCGGCCACTCCTTCCTTTACCTCTACCGCTCATTTTCGATGTCTACGGTAGGTGGACTATTTCAAATCTTTCTTTTTTATTTGGTAGCTCTTTATTTTAAGTTCTCGTCCGACATACTTATTCGTCTTATGGCATGGGGCGATAACTTCAAATATACTCTGGCTAGGGATGTTAAATCTATATTACTAAAGATCTTGAGGGTGGCCGATTGTCTTCACACACTGTGCGGTCGCGGCCTTTCCAAACCCGTTTCTTTGTTGTGTGACTCCTTGGTTGGGTGCCCGTCCTTGGCCCCTGCGCTGGCTCTATGGCTTTCGCGCTTGTTGTTGGTCTGACAGTTCCGTCTGGATACTGTCGGCTCTCCAATCGACAATCCTTTTAGATTCTGTCGACGAAACTCTTCTCGCGTCATCGCGATCCGTCCTCGGACCTCGTTGCCGCGGTGCTGTCGATCCTCCGACAGTCTCTCTTCGGCACGACGATCTCGGTCGTCTCGATCTTGCTCTTCGGATCCGTCCTCGGAGCCTTCACTCGTTGCTGTCGCCTTCGACAGTCTCCTGGTTTTGTATCGGTCTTCTCGACGTCCTCGACTCTGACGGTCTCGTCGTCGAATGACTGATCCTCGCGTTCGGCCGTTGCCGTTGCCGTCGTCCTCGACGGTCTTCTTCTCGCGTCGCGATCTTCCTGCTACCGTTCGTTGCTTCGATAGACTTCTCTCTTCGACTCGATAGTAGACCACTGCTATTCGATAGCAGTACTTTTTCAGTAGTATGTTGTTGCACTAAGCTCTTTCTAGTTTACTTGCTATTGAGATACCACTGAAAAAGTGGGTGGGCTACCAGTTTTGCTACTGCATCAAATTCTAGTACAGAGGTACAGGTTGAATCCCTAATCGCGAATCCCCAACAACCGGTACCGAGAGGAAAATCACCAATCACGAGATTCACGAGGTCTTCGTTAGAGCTACTAGCTAGCCAACTGGCTATGTTAACGTTGTACGTACCGGTACTGTGGCGCCCTGCTGTTACTTGCGAAACCGGACGGGCAAGGGACGGGAGGTTTTAGTTAGGTAGTCTACCAGTCGGATCCGTTTCCGTAAAATCTGTTTATGCCACTTCGATTCGATTCGAATGATGGAATCAAATCGTGCATAGTGGTACCGGTATGTACTGTTCCAGCATTTTGCCAGATCCAGGCTCGTTTTGCCAATCGAATCGTGCATAGTGGTACCGGTATGTACTGTTCCAGCATTTTGCCAGATCCAGGCTCGTTTTGCCAGACCGCGCCAGATCCACGACCAGATCCACGACCAGATCCACGACCAGATCCACGATGAGCACACGCCTCTCCGGCTGGCACGCTACCCGCCAACTGTACATTCGGCCCATCTCATACGTGTAGCTTACAGCAGCAGCAGCAGCAGCTACTCTTGGTGCAACCACCGGAAAGCGTAGAGCTGCTGTAGAAGCCGGTAGGAATATGGATCAACTACCGGAATTTCGTCTCCCGGAGACGATTTGCTTTTAGGGGTAAGGGTACCGATGGGGAGTGGAGGTTTGAATTATACCCCGCGTGCATTACTTAGAGGCCTCTGTAGAAGTCTACGTATTCGACTAGTATTGTATTGACGGGATACAGTCAACGCATGTACATGCACATGAAAGTCGCCTTGCGTTCTTCACATTTTTCGCATGAATGAGGGATCCGTTTCGGGGCGAAGCAGAGAAAGGGATGAGCGCGCGGAGCGCGCGAATACTGTTTCAATAAAGCGAGTTAGGTGTTGGTAATAAAAGATTTATGGAAACGGAGACGAGCCAGGAGGCATATGAATAACTTAGGGTTAAAGTTCATAGCTATTTGTTGTTTTCCGGTGGTTGATCTCAGCAGCAGCAGCAGCAACAACAACAACACGGCGACAGCAACAGCGGCAACGACAACAGCAATAACAATAACAGCAGCTTCAAAAACAACAACAACAGCGTAACAACAACAACTCCACAAGAAAAACAACAACATTCCGCTTGTTCATCATGGCTTTGCTCTTTGCTGAACCCAAACAGGATGTCTTCCTCTGAAGCTGCGTCGTCCGTAAAGCGGACTGCAGTTTTGAAGCAGGCAGGAAAGAACTACACACTAGTACTGCTGGAAAATGATCGGCCTGTTGAGAATTTCAAACCTTTGACAATCAAAGACATGAACGAACAAATTCACAAGTCTCTCAAGTGGGTCGATGACGGAATTCCATTTGATGATGCAATATACTCCAGTGTGACGAAAGGCTCCAGTTTCTTGTTCGAAGGGAACCGGTATCCAGTAGAGGATCCGACACCATTCGAGCAAAAATATCCAGCAAATGGTAGGAAGTGTTTTGGATACCGTTCGTTCGTTTATTGTTGAATTTATTCAATTCATCCTTGGCTAACAATTAATCTGTCACTCTTGGATTACTGTGGTTATATCGATTGGTTTGCCTTAATTTGTCACCGTCTCGCTTGGTCTCTCCATCTAGAACAACGGCAGCGACAGAAGAGTCTCGCAGACTTAATCATTAACCACAAAGAACACGCTTTGTTAGAGCTGCAGGACATGGCCAGTTATCACAAGGGAGTGGATAGTCCTGACCCGGCTCAATATTGCGAGCCAAAGAAAATGTGCACTTGGAACGACGCGGAATTGCAAGAACAAGTGAAGAAGAAGAGTGACGAGCTCTCTGAACAGCTTAAGTTGTATACGCCACAGAACAGACGACGAGTTTGTCTGGGTATACGTCTAGGCTCTGGTTGCGGCAAAACTCACGTCCTGTCTGAAGCTGGCCGGTGGCTTGGCGCCCCTCTCATCTATGTCACCTACAACCAGTACCAACTCCTAAACCAAGACAGGTTGTTTCCACGCAACGCACTACTCATCCGACTGATCCTCGCTGTAATGGGGATTGCTTCGCCAGATGCTGGTGGTCTCTTCCAAGCCCAATGGCAAACACTTTTTGACAAAAGAATCACAACCGATCTGCTAAGGGATCTTTTTCTTTTCTGTGCAAAAAAAGCATATAAGGGGCAGGCAATTGTTATAGGGGTCGACGAGACAAAATGCCTGGAAGATAAGGAAGCGGCACAGGCTGTCATATCAGAGCTTGGGTTGGTTGCCTGGAAATACAAGAATAAATTCTCATCGATGTGTACGGTCATGGTCACATCTCAGATTTGGGAATACTTCACAACCACATCAGGACGCTCTATCATGGAATGGACTCCTCCTCCTCCAAATGAAGTGACAGTTGCAATGTACTCGAAGCACCTGCCTCCCCACACCCCGAACATGCAGCTGCTTTGCTCGCCGCTGTGGCTGGTGGTCATATCCGCTCTCTTGTTGTTGCCCGCAACATTATGAAAGCGAACAAAGTGTCGGTGACTGTCCCAGGCCTACTCAAAAAGATGAAATCGAGGTTGGGTCTCAGTCTTCAGGGATATGAATTGGCGGCTATTAAGAGCTACGTTCTGAGATGCATCGAGGAATCCCCAAGCCAAACTGATACAGCAATCCAACCTTATACTGACGAGAAAGGTGCTGTCGCCCCAACTCTGATCCTCATGGCATTTTCTCTAGACGGGAAGACTCAGGAGGAGAAGGAGGACTTTCTGAAGGATTCACAGGATGCCCTGTTAGCTGGAGCTGATAAGGAATCGCAGGATGCGCAGTTAGTTGTACCACCGGCGCCTGAAGACCCTGTGACGAGTGCCCTTCTGGACGTCTTTAACTCGGCCACCCTATTTGTTGACGCTCCTAAGCAGCTGGAGGAAATGTCAAAAGCTTACGATAAGTTCCGGCAGTGCATGGGTTTACCTGTTGTGCCTAGAAAAGCAAGAATCAGATTCCCAAACGAAGGAAAGTTTCAGGAGGAGAAGTGGTACAGAGAGTTGGTATTCCCAAGTGAAATGGAGGAAGACAAACAGTCATTGCTGAAACAAGAGAGAGAAATCATCCGTCCTTCTGCAGGAAAGAAAAAGGAGACTGTGAAGGTGAATATAGTACCCACTGGGGTGAAGATCAGGTTTGGCGATTATTTCCATCCTGGACACACAAGTCATCCTTGGGTCGATCGTGCTTTCGCTGCGAAACATGCTGGTACTGATGAGCTTTGCCTTGTTCTGGCCCAAGACAAGATCAATGCACAAGATTTCCCCACGGCTGTCAGGAATTTGAACAAGGCAGCACATGTGCTTTCTCTGGGTTTCAGGAGTGTTTTATGCATTGCAAATATCATTGGGGCCAGTTCGGAGACGAAAGCCCAGTCAGAGTTCGAGTTCCCCTACATTCTGATACGCGATGAACCTGAAGTGAGAGCCTTCTTCTCGGTCAACTTTTCTGTGCCAGTGATTTTCTCGCGAAAGCGTCATTTGCTTCAACTTCAACATGGTGTGGTGGACGCAACGAAGAAGGCTGGAGCAGCCTGAGCGATGGGAGTTTCAAGCTAGCTAGCTAGCTGCTGTAAGGACGATAGTGGGGATCACCGTAGTTACCGCGAGAGTAAGGCTGATAACGGGAGTAAGGTCGATTGTATGAAGCACATGAAGGATTCTGGGGAGGACCTCTGTCTGATGCTGAGAGCGACGCAGATAAGATACACGAATATCAACTCAAACCTAAACATTGGTTTCGGTTCAGGTGACGCCACCAAAGACATACTCAAAGCCAGATATAACCTTTTCCTGGCCAAGATTGAGGAGAAGAAGTCCAAGAAAAAGAAAGCAAAGACCAACAGCAAGAATATGAGGTCAAGTGACTCAGGACGCTGAAGATGAGACAGTTCTCAACGAAACAATGAACGCGCATGGTCACAGGGTCTTTCCCCAGAGCGTTCGCGCCGTTGTGCATGAGCTTCAGGACCGCTTCGGTGAACGTCGCACTGACTTTCAGGCTCCTGCCTAACCATTCCCCAGAGAACTATTCTGGTTGATTGTCAACTTCTATAATTTGATTAACCACACCCCTTAGCTCCCACTTCGTCCCTAATGTCGTTTAGCTATTGACCAGGAGGACCCGAGGGGGTAAGCGAAGCGCGTGAAGACATGATGCCGACAAAGTTGCACCGAGCAAGTGTGCAACCGGAGGCGGATATGTCGAAACTATTATTACCCCCTCGGGTCTCCCTGGTTCCCCTACTCTTTTTCCTATAGTGAAGCCTACAAATGGGGACCGGGGGACCGACGTTAAATGGAAAACAGCTGAAGAGTTAAAATCCGGTACTCAAAGCACCATTTCCACGACGGTCCCCTGGGTTACCCACGAAAAAGTCTCTTTTCGGAAAGCTAGTGTTCTTGAGACATTCGAGAATTAGAGAATTATATGCAGTAATTTAAATAATGAGACATTGTGAGACATTGTTAGAATTCGTGAGACATGAGACATAAATATGAGACATTGTGAGACATTGTGAGACATGGATTGACTTAAAGATAAGACAGACACTTTCTTGTGATGACCCACAAAAGCTTTTTAAATAAATGAGACATGAGACAGAAGGCTTCTCGAAAAATGAGACATTGTGAGACATTGTGAGACATGAGACATAAACATTAGACATTGTACCACAAAATGAGACATTGTGAGACTTAGAGCATAATTTTATATCCATGTCTCACTATTTATTAATCCAAATTTTGGGGAACTCCGACACTCCGACAAATCCGCGCCTAACCCTCGTCCCCACGCCCCGTGAGAGACATCCGCCCCGGTCTCCACGGTGAAGGTTTCCACGCTCGAGCCTAACGGCGATTGAGAAGAAGAAGAATTTGCCGGTCTGGTGGAAAGTGCAATACACGGCTCTTAGCCTTATTCGCGACTCGATCCTAGATAGGGTTTGAGTTCGACTCATGACATAATGTCACTTTGCACTTCGTGTGGTGTTTAATTTCTCCTGCAGGGTAGTCCACTCGTTTGTGACGCACCCAAGATCCTTCATGCGTAGTTTTTAGCAGGTTCTACAGCATCAAAGTTCCGGATGCTCCCGTATCCACGTTAAGCAACGAGTGTTTGTAACGGGTTTGGTTTCCCTTTTTCTCGCTTGGTTAAACCTAACTTAGACGATGGGTTTGAGGTCTCTGTTCTTGCGACGTTTACGAGGTGGTTGGCCAACGGACGAGGTTAATCGATGCTAATAGATCAGCAGAGTCTAGTGTGAGCAGACTTCTAGGCAATATCATCTAATGTTCCGTATGAGTTCATCGTTGCAAACAGTCTTGTTTTACTAGTAGTGGAGATATCATCATCACTTTGGTATGAGAAATCGGAACATAGGTTACGTTCTTGGTTCATCACCTAGCCTAATACTCAGATAGAGATTTTCCATCATGAGTGATTGAATTGATGGAGGAGTTTCCTCTTTGTCTGAGTCTCTGACGTTTGCGCTTGGCAACAATGGTGGCGAATTGCAAGTGGTGTGCACGAGCGATCGTCGACTCTCGTTTCTTCGTCATTGTCTCGACGAGGAAGAATGGGTTTGTCACGCAACTTGCTTCTCGAATTTGCGGAACGCTTGCTTTCCTTGAGCCATCTTCATGGTGAAGGAATAGGCTTGGAGGGTAGCTGAAAGCTATTGTGTTTGTTAACAAAAATGCACTACGCTAAAGCTAGTGTAAAGATCTTTCGAGTGTTTTGTTTTGAGAGAATGAATTATGAGAGGGATTAGAAGCTATGAAAACTAATCAACGAGAGAGATCATCAACAAGGGATCGTAGGATCTGGCTTCCGCGCGGCGAGATATAAAGTGGTTAGAGTATGTTGCGATAGTAAATCCTACGTCTTTCCACGTATCCTGAAACGAAACGCGTGTAAGGTTTGTCTAGCATGGATCTAGTAGCGTGTGAGTACTTCCACGCTGGCTAAAATATCTAGAGCGATGTTTCATACATCAAACCTAGTATGACATAGCGCAGTCATTGAAACGCCTGTCTCAAATGACTATTCACGAGAGAACTCGTAT